TAAAATGTGTTCTTGAAGTTGAAATTTCGATTACGCAAGAAAAAATTATCCAAATAATATAGTACGGCAACGCCACTAGGACAGTCTAATGTTATATTTTTTAAAAACGACCATAGTTTTGTTAACAAAATAGTCACATTTTGAAAAACATTCAATGCAAAGAACTTAGCTACAATTTAAAAAAATTTTAGAAATAATAATAATAATAAGAAGATAGACAAATTTCTTACTTTTACAAATGTGAATTCTGTGTAAATACTTTAGTTTTCTTTTTTCTTTTTTTTTTTTTTTGTTTGTTCAGGAAAGTGAGTTAGGTCCGTTGACGATAAGACCAGAAGTTTTTATTATTTGCACTTTATAAATGATGGCCAATGATAGTCAGTTATGTGCTTATGTGCTTTGTAGAGTTAATTCCCAAAGTTTGTCTAGAGGCTTTGGCTTATTAAGAATAGTATTTAGACAATTGGAGTAATAAGCAAAAAAAAACAAAGAAAGAAACATTTATTTAGTAACAGTTTAATAGAATTACAAGGAAAATTCAAAAGTGCCGACTCCCTCTTTCGGAACTGATGAGTTATCTTTTTAATTCAACATTGATTCAATTAAACTATTACTAATTAATTCTGGCCTGTTTTGTTTTAAATTAATCGACACAATTTTTAGAAGCAACTGCGTCCTTCTGTTTTCCGTTAAAAACTATCAGCTGCGATCTATCTAAATAAAAAGATTATCTATCGATAGTATTGAAACTATGTTACAATATTGCCATAGTATTTTAAATGCACGCAGTAATCATTAATGTAGCCTCAAATTTACGTTATTCCGATTAGAATAATATTTGGTCGCAAGATTGAAGGGAATAAAATGAACTCATCATCGTAAATGAAATAAAATAATTATTTTAAAGAGAAGAGGAGCAGACAGCAAATGTTCAAATTAAAAAGCAAGCGTAAGAACTTATTTCGAAACCATAAGCACATCCGCAATCGTAGTACATTTATAAGAGGGGTCTAAGGAATTGTTCATAACTCTAGATTTGATTAGTTGACAAATTATTCAAGAGATTGCTTAGGAAATGAGTAGAAAACTAGGCAGGAAGGAGTGAATCGATGCCAATCAAGAAATTAATTTAAATCTAAGTGGAAAATAGTCGGTACATAACTGGCGTTGCATGAATCAGTCGAAACAGTAGAGGTTGATCGAAGTTAACACATAAGCTCCGTTCCAACAATTGTTAGAAAAATTCAAGGAAACTAAACGCATAAAAATTGTAAAGAATTATTCGTAATGTAAGAGTCAATTAAGGAAATCCTGGAGACACACTTACAGCAATAAGAAAACCAGTGCAAATGAGTTCGGTCGATATGTTAGAATTAATCAAGTTGGAAGCGATTAAGGAATTTGTCGAAGTAAACGGGAATTCGATTGAATCATCAAAACAATTGGTTCAGACAAAGGTCAGATTAGATGAGAATTTTGTAAATCTACTTCTTAGTAGAAAGATAATCACTGAATATAAAAAAAAGAATGAATTAGTTTTAGTTTTGAAAATCTTTCATCTTAAATAAAATATAAAAATTAATTGAATCGAATTGGACAAACTTGTGCAATAAGCTTATAGCGATCGCAATCAGCTGAAGACTTAGGATTTAGCCCACAGGCTTAGGACGGTAGAGGCGACAAGCAGTCAAACGTATAGAATCTATATTAAAAAGTGACTCTTCGTCTTTAAGGGACTTTAAGGGATTTTTCTCAATTCCACGTTTGCATGCACCGGCCACATATCAAATATAGATAATAATTTTATTGGTAATTTTATTTTTCAATAATATTTTTACATACCATTAACTCTTTTCTCCAAATATATCCTTTCAATAGAATGTAGCGGTATTAACAGTATTAAATTTAAAAATGAATATAACATTTTTCTATCCCAAAAACGAAATGTTGTGTTGTCAATAGTACTAATCTATATATATATATATATATAGAATCTGACTCGAATAAATACCAAAATTACCAATAATACATAAACAAAATGGAACCAAAATCTCTTAAGGAGATAGAGCCTCAATGTTTTTTGCATGTCTAGTTGTAGTAATCGACAATGCTCTATCAACAGCTATGTAGATTATATGATAAGCGGAACAGAAAGAGAAATTGCTTAACTTAAAATATCTTTAATATAAAGAAAAAAAATTAAATTCCTAAAATAGAAAATGGAAACAGCTTGTTATATAGTATGTTCTCATTACATGGTATAAAATTAAATGTATATATGCTTAAATTATTGTTGTGATAGTTTGTCTATGTTCTAGGCTGTGTTAAGCAATGACTTGTGATGGTGTATTATGTTTTATTTTTAAGAACTATTTTCTTTTTTTTGTTTTTTGTATTAAGTTATCAAAAATTTATTTTAGCAAGCACTCTTAACCATTAATAATAATTCAAATATTTTTTCATAACGATGTTTAAAAAATAAACAATTATAAAAATCAATTAATTTAATTAAAAATAAAATGTTGTATAATTTCTTTTTTCTCGTAAAAATAAACGTCGTTCCACTTTACTTTGCTATTCTCAGTTACCTTCACTTTGCTACTAGAGAAGATTATATCGTTAATGTTATTATCGTCTTTTTTTTTTTTTTTAATTCTTAATGAACTCACAAGCACCCAAGTTTGTATTTTTCACAGCACTGTAAGTGATGTTAATCTTTGAAATCCTTAGAGTCCCTAATTAGTGCATGATATAAGCATCATCATCATACATCAGACATCAAGTATAAGTAAAGAGTGTTTATGTGTAAGTGCGTATTTGATCATTTCATTGGCTCTTCGATATTATGAATATTTGGTTCGATGATGATAATAAGCCTTCAATTTAATTTTCAGCACAAAACATTTGATACGTCGAAGCAATTATGGCGCGGATTTACAAATCATCGACACTATGATATCACTCCAACAGAGACATCCGTTTGAATCGATGCTTTAATTCGAAAATAAAATCTATTTCCCCATCTGTTTTCATGTCAAAACTGTGCATCCTTCCATACTAACAACTTGGGCAGCGTGAAATTTATGCATTATTTCCTTAAAAACGAAGAAATCTATTCTAGTCTATTCTATTCTATTCTATTCTATTCTATTAACTGTCATTAAGATGATATTGTGTGTCCAGATCATTTCGAAAATTAATAAACTTGTGCGTGTGAATTGTTTCTTTAACAATAAATATCGACTACAGGTTTGTATAAGAGAATGGTAACCCTACATTGTATTTGGTAGTGATAAAATACACCGTTGTACTGAAAAAGGAGTATTCCACCGCTGGTTTAGGTGCTTCAGCGTGTTTGTTGAGTGGGAATACAATCTTTTTTATCCTATCGATTAGTGTTTTTCTAGAGTGAGAAAATATTAACAATGGCTTTATTAAATTGTTTAATCAAGAGCAATTTGTTAACACAAATTAATAATTTAAAAGCTTTAAAATTGCTAAGTCAGGTAAGATAAAAAAAATCCTTTATAGGAATTATGTAATGAAATTTCTTTAATTTACAATAAGAATTGCTATTGCACTCACTTGAAATTTGCGGAGCACAAACCTATCGAAAAAATTCGAAATATTGGTATATCCGCTCATATTGATAGCGGAAAAACGACTTTAACGGAACGTATTTTATTTTATACGGGACGCATTGCGCGTATGCATGAAGTGAAAGGCAAGGATAATGTGGGTGCAACTATGGATTCTATGGAACTGGAACGACAGCGTGGTATAACCATACAGTCTGCCGCTACATATACCCTGTGGAAAGATATCAATATTAACATAATTGACACCCCAGGCCATGTAGATTTCACAGTGGAAGTAGAGCGTGCTTTGCGTGTTTTAGATGGAGCAATTTTGGTTTTATGCGCCGTGGGTGGTGTTCAAAGCCAAACTTTAACTGTTAATCGTCAAATGAAACGTTACAATGTTCCATGCCTTGCATTTATTAACAAACTCGATCGTATGGGCTCGAATCCATATCGGGTGCTATCGCAAATGCGTTCGAAAATGAATCATAATGCTGCTTTTATTCAGTTACCAATTGGCTTGGAAAGCGATTGCAAAGGTATCGTGGATATAGTTGGTGACAAAGCAATATATTTTGATGGTGATTTTGGTGCTCAATTGCGTTATGATGAAATTCCTCAAAATATGCGCACGGAAGTTAAAGAGAGGCGGCAAGAGTTGATTGAGCACTTATCCAATGTAGATGAGAAATTAGGGGAAATGTTCCTAGAAGAAAAAACGCCTAACGAAGATGACCTCAAAGCTGCTTTAAGACGTTCTTGCATTAAGAGAACATTTACTCCGGTTCTTGTTGGCACTGCCTTAAAAAATAAAGGTGTTCAACCCTTATTGGATGCAGTGGTCGACTATTTACCCAATCCTGGAGAAGTTGAGAATATAGCTCTGATTGAGCAGTCAAGCAAAGATCCCCAAAAAATTGTGCTCAATCCTGCACGCGATGGTAAAGAGCCATTTGTAGGGCTAGCCTTTAAACTAGAAGCCGGCCGGTTTGGCCAACTCACCTACTTGAGATGCTATCAGGGAGTTTTGCGCAAAGGCGATAGCATTTTTAATGCCCGAACCGATAAAAAAGTTCGCATCGCTCGTCTAGTGCGCTTGCATTCGAATAATATGGAAGATGTGAATGAAGTTTATGCTGGCGATATTTTTGCACTTTTCGGCGTTGATTGTGCTTCGGGCGACACATTCACCACTAACCCACGTGATGGATTGTCTATGGAATCTATTTACGTGCCAGATCCCGTTGTTTCAATGTCTATTAAGCCCAGTGATCCCAAAGATCGAGACAATTTCGCAAAAGCCGTTGGCAGGTTTACGAAAGAAGATCCAACTTTCCATTTCTGTTATGACAATGACGTTAAAGAGACTTTAGTGTCTGGAATGGGAGAATTACATTTAGAAATTTATGCTCAGCGCATGGAAAGAGAATACAATTGTCCTGTGGTGCTGGGGAAACCTAAAGTGGCTTTCAGAGAAACATTAGTTGCACCATGCGAATTTGATTACTTGCACAAAAAGCAATCTGGCGGTTCGGGTCAATTTGCCCGTGTTATTGGTATTATGGAACCCTTGCCTCCTCATAAAAACACCCTCGTAGAGTTTAGCGATGAAACAGTGGGAACTAACGTACCCAAACAATTTATTCCCGGCGTGGAGAAAGGATTCCGCGAGATGGCCCAAAAAGGTATGCTCTCAGGTCATAAATTATCAGGTGTACGTTTCCGTTTGTTAGATGGCGCCCACCATGCAGTAGACTCGAATGAATTATCTTTTATGATGGCAGCTTATGGTGCCATTAAAGAAGTCTTTCAAAATGGTTCTTGGCAACTTCTGGAACCAATTATGTTGGTTGAAGTAACAGCTCCCGAAGAATTTCAAGGCGCGGTCATGGGACAGTTAAGCAAACGTCATGGTCTTGTGACCGGTACAGACGGTTCTGAGGGTTGGTTTACCGTGTACGCCGAAGTACCCTTAAATGATATGTTTGGTTATGCCGGGGAATTACGGTCAAGTACTCAAGGTAAGGGAGAATTCACCATGGAATATTCTCGATATTCACCTTGCCTACCCGATATACAAGAACAACTTGTGCGTCAGTATCAGGAATCTATGGGTTTACTTCCCGAAAAGAAAAAAAAGAAAAATTGAAATCTTTAGTATTAAGATTAAAAGCAAACATACGTGTACATGTAAACCATTTTTTTACTGCTGTGATATGATATATAAAATAAATCCAGATATTCATTATAGAAAAACCTTTTTCTCATTTTATTAAACTTGACTTAGCTTGAACGGCGCATTTTTAGCAAAAGAATCGGAACGATGCAATTGATATAATAAACGTTCTTCAATATGTTTCACTGCGTTAATAGTCAAGACCAAAGTGTCGTGCTTTAACATAGAATATGTGTTCAGACTGTACGCAGGCATTAAATTGACGTAACTCAGTTTATCTGTAGCAACGCATATATTTTCAGGAAAAATGTCTTCTCTGCAAGAAAAAGGAGAACGTTTTATGAAAAGTTTTTCTTACGGAATAGGACTCACTTATCAACTATTAACACTGAAGGACCCCAATTGCGTTCAATAATTAGATCCTTAATGAATTGATGGTCTCCACTTGGAATCTCGACATCTTTGATAATACGCAAATCATCCTGGGCCAGTTTGACGCTTAGCGTTGCCGTCAAACCCATGACACGTTTAAAAAACGGCAGCATGTAAAAATGAGTTGTAGGTGACCGTGGTCCATGCGCTTTTCCACCACCTCTAAACAGAGGCGATCGAATGGAACCGTGACGTGCTCTACCCGTTCCCTTCTGAGGCCATGGTTTACGACCGCCACCACGGACTTCAGCTCTTGTTTTCGAATGAGCGAAACTGACAAAACGATATTTTCGCTGCCATTCAATGTTCTCATGTATAACATCTACGCGTGGTTGTATAGCAAACACGTCGGGATGCAATTCAATTATACCCAACTTGCGTTCCTGTACATCATCGATATTTTCAATCCAAACTTGACGAGAGTCAGTTACTTGAGCGGGTTCATATGTATCAAAATTCTGGGTCAATATTATCGGCGGCTCCGGCGCAATTTTCTCCGTAACTTTTGTAAGCTGACTTTCATTTTCTTTCGGTAAGTTTTCAGTAGTAGTTCGAAGCGAGGACGTACTGGCAAAGTGACGTATTTTAGGCAATATAGATTTAGTTTTATTCAAAAAATTTAACATTCTGGAGAAACTTTAACAATATGAACGTAAAACTATAAAAAATTCTCAATAGGGATCAATTGTTGAAAATCAGCTGTTTACGTGTGCAGAGTTGCTTTGAAAGGTCATATATCTTGCAGGCGCGAATAGTCGGGTTACTTGTAATACTCAACCTGTTGTCAAACTTTCTTTAGCTTTGATTCTCACTAAAGTTTATTCTTCCCATCATCATTAGCAATTATGTAAATCTGTTAATAATTTATAATAAACGTATGATAAGCGAAATTTTGACTCTGTTGTATAAGGCTTTGTATAAGGATTTGTTAAAGAACAATCGTAATTCACGCGGAGGTTAAACTGGTTGTTTAACGTCGATCTATATGCCTTGGACTCGTATGCAAGAAAAAAGGAGAGCAAAAATAGAACGTCAAAACGGCTGGTGAGCTTTTGATTTCTCGACATAATTGACATTTTCGAATCTTGACGGATCTTAGCTGATAAAGGTGCTCCCATAACGTCAACTGTTATTGTCCGCTTAACCCTACCTTAGTGCTACCTACTGTTACTTATTTTCTTTATTCATTGTTTAAACTTAAGCTAAACCTAACTTGCATGCTAACATACGCTTACGATCTCGAAACTCCTTTTCAAGGACCTATTCGAATTTTCTTTCATGTTCTCATTAGATATAGTGTGAAAATCGGGCAAATAATTGTGACCTGAACGTTTAAAGCTTTCAGACACAGGCTTAAAGTTTTCCTTAATAAAAACTCGATATCACAGACATGGATGGTATGCCCACACCAATAGCCCGCTATAGTAAAAAAACAACAAGTTGTACTAACAAGTCATAACGAAGCCGAAATTGGCACAGAGGGTTGAGAAAGCTGGACGTACACCTTCTTATCACAGACAACACACACAATTGATCACAACAACGACTCCAGTATGCACAAAATCGTATCTTGCTATCTACCTAGTTGTAGATATACATACATATGTTACGATTGCGATTAAAGTTACGATTTACCTAAAGTGGAGAAAACGTATCAAAAGCAAAACGAAATTTGTGTTCAGTCTACCGCACCAGGAATCGAACCTGCATCTTTCGGTCTGACGACCGAAATGACCTTCCAGAACGACAATACTTGGCCGCTGGAAAGATAAAAAGCACTAACCCTGGGCTATTACAGCTACTTCGTGAGCCATTGTTCCTTATGATCAACACTTGTGTCAATCAATGCCTGCCTGGACAAAGTGTTCGCTTTTATGATTACTGAAGTGAGCTATCGCACCTACCTCGTGTGCTGTCTCTCCTTCTGATTATCATTTGTGATGACTGAACTGAGCTATCAGATCTACTTGGTGAGTCCCTGTAATTACTACTTATTTCAATCAATGCCTGCCTTAGGAACGCTTTCGCTTTTATGATGACTGAACTGGGCTCTACCTCGTGACCCATTGTTCCCTCTAATTATCGTTTGTTTCAATCAACGAAGCTTCGCTTTTATGACGACGGAAAAAATTGACTTCTCCATGGGCACTCACAAAAGACGAACTGTTCAAAAGCCGTTATAAAAAATGATAGAAAAAAGTAGCGACTAACGGTTGACAGTCCGTCTCACATAATTTTTTTTAACTTGCAGTAAGAAAATCGTCAACAATTTTCTTTACAATCCTAATGTAAAGCTTTTTAAGCTTCTTAAGATAATTTTTCTTTGCCAGCCTATGCCCTTCTCTTATTTGAGAGATGATTTTTCAATTCTCTACACTCTCTTCAGGGAGATCTTCCAAAGGAAATCTATGTGGTTATAACCGTATGAGGAGAATGTTTGCAGAAAATGAATTTGATCGAATTTATATATGGCAACGAAGAATATTATCCCTTACGATTTAATGTAATTAATGCATGTATGTAATGCGAATATGAAGAATTTTGATTTTAAAATTTACAAAATTTGTTATTACTTAATATGTTCTTGTATTTCTCGCATAAGAAAGAAAAAAAAAAATTTATTTTTCGCAGGCTTTTTTACATTAATATAAAATTCCTTAGAAAATTTCTTTTTCTTAAGAACAAAAAATTCCCCAATAATGTTGTTTATATAATTAGCCACCTAAATAAGCAAAAATTTGAAAAAAAATTTTTCCAAACACATTTTTGCAAGAACACCCAGAGTTAGTAAGCGATAATACCAGATGAGTAACTGAAAATAATTATTGAAACATTCAAGTAATAGTTTTTCTTTGTAAGCGTTTGTTATCTGCATACAGTGGATCGTAAACTGCTCGCCGATCGTCTATGAATGAGAATGAAGACATTCACTAACAAATGGTGAGTAATAAAACTTTCAGAAAGGAACCGAACAAATTGTAAAAAGCCACAAAAAAAAAAATAAAAAATTTATTTAACAAAATAAAAAACAAAACAAAAAAATTAAGAAGCATACACGCTAGAAAAAGTGAACTAATTAAAAAAACAATTAATTGAAGAAAAAAGTATTATATTCATTAAAAAATGTATTCACATGAGCAGTAAGGGATTTGCAAAAATGCTTACAATTTGGAAAAATATCCACCTATTATGTCTGTCCATCTGTCCATCCACACATCTTGCTAGAAAATTATAATTTTGCATATTCATACTTAGGTAATCTGGATAAACAAGCATTATAAGTGCGTACACATTCATTCATGTTTCAATTTATAATAGAAGTAACCTTGAAAGATGAAGCTTGGCTTAGTTGATTTCCACTTATATGCTCGATTAGTGTATACTTTAAAGTGCTAAGCATCTATCCAGATGCTCCCAGTGATTTCAAACCTAAATTCGAAAATAAACCCAATCACATATATATTTTTTATTCAATTTCGTCCAAGTCATGTTTATTTTCAAAAGGTTGATAAACGAGCTAATTTTAGGTAAGAGAGCGGAAGCAACTGGAAAAAAAATCAATCGATTGAAAAGAGTCGTCCATGGGCCCTACTAAACTTCCCGAAAATTAAAATGGTTACATCTAACTCATAATCAATCCCTATGTTTGCTGAATTTAGGAAATTCAGTTTAAATCGGATATAATATCATTTAAGTACATGTAAGACGATAAAAGTATAATTAAAATAAAATAAAGTCGTCACAAAATATTTACTAGTAGTGATGGTGGCGTTAAGTAAATAACTGAATATTTCCTGTCATACGGCCAGCGAACTCGGCGAACAAGCTTAGTTAGGTAAGGTATGCCCGTAGAATACCGGTGGATCGTATATTTATGGTTCACTTTTATTTATAATATATATACCGGACATACACATATCTATGTATATATCTACATATATTTATTATCCAAGTCCATTTTCTTGAATCCAAATATTACTGAAGTAGGTTATATAAATGTTGATCTGATATTGGAAAATACAAAAAATGAAAACAAAAACATATAAAACCGTACATACATATATAATATAATTTGAACTTTATTTCTTATCAGTTTAGTAAACTTTTTACTTCAATGCATATCCAATAATAAAATACGTCATAGCTTTGTCCACCTCACTTCACCGTGTCTAACTTCTCACGTCATAAAACATTAGGACTTGCAAGTTACTGTTCCCATGTAAAGGCTTATTTTTCAGGAGAACCTCTGTTTGGGGACAATGTGACATATGTAGTACGAACTTGTCACAGGAAGTTTATATGCATTATCGATTTTCATTATAAAATCCTAATAACCCTATGTAAAGGATTAATCAGATACGACTATCTCAAATCCTTCTGGGTGTTAAACGCAACACATAAACTTATTATCAGAAATGAAGTCGAATACAATTCAGATCTAAGAGAAATCTATATTAAAAAGTCCACGAATTTCAAAACCTGAATGAAAGTCATTAACTTGCAGCTGATATGTTAATCTTCTAGAGCGTCTTCTGGTAAAAGGCGTAACTTTTCAAAATGCATGCTCATAATTACCGCATTCCAATTTCATATCTATGCACTTTAATGACTTATTGCCGATACCCATCAACAAAGGATAAGTTGTGTATTCATTTTGTCAGAACGGTTGCAACGCCCAGAAGGAACCATCAGAGATCCCATAAAGTATATATATTAGTGGTGAGCATCAAATGCCAAATCGATTTAAGCAAGTCCATCTGTCCGTTTGCCTAATGAAACAGAAACAGCAGAAGTTCTTGCATGCAGGCTGGTATTAAAAATAGGCCAAATCGGTCGAAAGACACGCCCACAGCATGACGTCAACTGAGAGCAACTCTGTTGTTCAAAAGAATACAAAATCGGTTTTTTCCTTATCACTCATAAACTACAGCAAATAAATGTACAAAAATTTGAACGCATATTCGACGCTGCTGCATTTGTGCGAAAAATGGGAAAATGGGAATGACCACGCCTACCCACTATTATAGTGTATCAAACATTATTGATTTCTTCAATAACGCGCAGAAACAAGCTTCAAAAACCCCATAAAGTATAAAAATTCTTGGCCAGTTTCAAATCTTGAATGCACCTAAACATATCTGCCTGATCATCTGTCTGTTTGCAGTATTAGCGTTAGCGAAATGGAGTTGTCGCCTACAAATTTGCAAAAGAATATGAAATTGACCTAAACTTTTCAAAGGACACGCCTACAACGCCCACATGCTTCTACGACAAAAACACTTATTTTGAAAATAGAAAAAATCAACTGCGCCCAATCCATACTATAGAGAGAGTTCTTTTCTTTCTTCTTTACTTCTTATGTCTTTTGTTTAGCGTAAACGGTGGTCTAGATCGAATTTTATTTTCTTACTTATTTTTTATTTGTCACTGCTTATATGTTATAGAACGAGACTTTTATGATAGCGAACGCTGGACTTTTATTTTATTGGAATTCCCACTTCAATACAATCGACGGACATCTTAAGTGATTAAAATTGAGTAGACTGAGTGTTGATATTTACAAAGTCATTATTAAATTGTCGTATAACTTCAGATTTAACAACGGGAAATACTCAAAGCTGATCATTTAAAGTATATTTAATACGATTGATAACGAGATGATTTACAGATGATCGCCTATTTCTGCAACCATTCCCTTTTGCGTATTGTCGAAGAGCGTTAATTGGGTTCGTAATATTAGGCTTATCACAAACGTCCTGGGTTTACTTTTGTATATTATATATGTAGAGATAAAGAGAAGCGCTTAAAAAAGTTCAAAAATATTATTGTCACTACTTTATAGGACGAAAAAAGTAAAAACATTTTAGTAAGACCCCTACTAAACTTACCTGTATTCAGTTTATGCGAAAGTATGCAGCACCTGCAAAGACTTGAGAGAGACAGAACTTTTATTATACTGATCGATTCAGAATTATATTCTCAGTATATTTGTCCGTCTGTCCGTTTGATACACGGACGAACGCTGTTGAAAATGGTTGGGATCGGACCACTTTTTCTATCGCTTCCCAAATAAAATCTTATTTTTGAAAGGTGATATATAAATAACTGTAGATGTAGGGTATTCAATGCTCGACGTTGCCGCACAATAGTACTTTTGCTTGTTTTATCAGTAAAAATTCCAATTAATCAAATTTGATCTTCTAAGATTATAATCTTTTCACTCTGTTTCTTCACCCAGCTTAGATCATGTTAAGGTAGTGTGTGTATATGTTCCGTTAGAACAACAGCTTACATAGCTTTCTTGGCTGAGAATGCTATACGTTTACAATTCTTTGGAGGGTTTTCTCTTTGCTGGTGTGGAGTAATAATTTTTAGTATCCTTTACAATGTAATTTTTGTTTGTTACTCAGTTGGAAATTGTTATCAACATACTCAGCATGAATAAATAATATAAGAAAACGTGAAATTTTTTTTTTTTTTTTGGATTTCCTTACGTAATAGTCTGTCTCCGATAAAAAAAATTTAATTGTAATTTCACTTTATTTTTCCAATGAACGACGTAAAGACACGATTATACCTTGGTATTAGGAAATTTTTGAAATGATAAAATGTATGTAAATTTTTGTTTATGACTGTAGAGACATTAAAAAGTAAATAAAATTCCCCTTCTTTAAAATAACCACAATATTTTCCATAAAAACTACTACATATTCGAATCATTCTGCAAACATATTTAGCGCACAAAAACACTTTAGAATAACCCAATAATAATATTTCATTTTAAATAACCCGAAATGAGGAATAAATAACGCTCACACAGAGCCGTATACTTATATATAATTTACGCATAGACGGAAATTTTTAGCAAATAAATTCCAAGTTTATATTACTTCTATTTATTAGTTGTAACCTTAGGAAATTCACATATGCAACGAATAGACGTTCCATATGTTTACCATCAGTGAGAAGAAAAACATGAACACGCGTATGGGGCTTTCTGGTTAAGCATATGTCTACAGAGAATAACATTTTCAAGGATAGCGAATGAAAACTTTTAATCAAACATATTCTAATACGGAAATTAATTTCATTTAATTTATACAAGTAACACTTAACGTCTTGTGGCGTCAACCCACATGCGTTTAACCAACAAGAAGGAAACTAGAGAAAAAAAGGATCAAATTTGCTCTCTCTCTCTCTCTCATAAATTTTGGTAAGTATGAGCGAAACTCTGACGAAATGTAGATAAAATTTCATTCAGGTAGCAGAAAATAATACAATGAAAATGTTATCTGTACATGTATTTTCCACAAGATAATTCCTAAGGACAGTTCTGCGCCGATTCAATGGAAAAGATGTCAGTAGAGTTTTAGCATTCGTCGTGAACGAGCACCTTTAAGAGTGAAAGAACGAAAATTAATATCTAGGAATGTATTTAAGATTTTAACGTATATTACGCAAAAAATGCATATATAAATTTGAGTGATTTTTCAATTAAGTTATGAAGCATTCAGAGCAAAGGTTTTGAAAATCTATAAACAAACCCTATTTAAGTGCGTGATATAAGAAAAAGAATATTACTAATATTACAATTTGACAATATAAGAGCTTCTATAGATTACAACGATTCCACAGGTATGGTTATAATGGACATTTTATAAAATCATCAGAATCAGAGTCTCTTATTATCACTTGAATATCAGGGTTGGCAAAAGCTTTGTAACTCTGATAAAAGTCCAACTAGTCAGTGTGAAAGTAAAAAAAATATCACAAAAATAATCGCATGCACTTCATCCATGATTTTCATTTATTTAAGTAAAGAATTAAATTAATTAACGGTATGTGATTTACTCTTCCATCCATAAAGTGGTCGGCCTTTCTTTCCTAAAACATAAAGACAATAATAATTTAATGACGTAATGAGTTGCAATTCTACGTTATACCATAAATGAATTTTTGAAATCTTGAAAACATAAGGCAATCAGTTTAGTTTAGTATTGTGCCTCTTATCCATGGAAGTGAATGTGTTGATTATTTCGGCTAAAGGTTCGACAAGGAATTGATAAAACACTTAAACTGATGCTACAGGGCGGAAGTGAACACAATGAATTTGAGAATAGTTTAATTAGGCACTTAACTTCTTTTAAAAAGATTCTTCAATAAAAAGTGTCCTGAAAGATTCAAAGTGAACTATAAACTGTCTAATCGAGTTTGGCCTAGTGTGTGTTCAATTTATAGAGAAGCTTACAAAGTTCGTATGACTTAAGGCTTAGTGGCAATTCTTTATTCTAATTACCAATCATTTTTCTTAAAGTTCCTGGAAACAGGTACAAGCAAATCAAACTATATGTAGAATAGTAAGAAAGGGCAGCGCTCTATCCTCCACACTAATGAAAACGTACTAAACATTTAGTTCATAATGACAGAAAGCTCTCCCTTCAACCTCTAGAAACTTAAGAAAGAATTCAAACTTAATCGGAGCTGTACATTTTATCACAAATAAGTAAGAGTGCGCCGGGCCTGAAAGCAAAATCCTTATAAATATCCTTTCCGAGTTTTCTCCTAATGACAACATTGCCAACATCATATCAAGAGAAGAATCATTCCCTGACTTAAGCCTCTGCAACTAAACGTTTAAAAAAAAAGAGGCTTTAACTAAGGTAAAAAAAATATCGTCAAATGAATTAACATTCTTTCAGGTAGCGATTAACTTTTTCAAGATTAATGAGAAATTTCATAGATTCTTTCTGAAATTCGGAGCATATTTCCTGCCACAATTACTTCATTTCTAGTAACATTAAATTTACATTAAACTTTTAAGAAAGTCCAACGTTGGCACTCGCTAATATTTCTCAAACCCAAGCTGAACAAGGTGCAAATGTTTTCATATATCTCGTAACATAAATAAGTTCGAAAATGTCTGCGAATAAACCTTAAAAGTATGTTGCCCCAAAACGTTAACTTAAACACTACCTAATAATGTTTTGCAATAAAATTTTTTATTAATCACTTGCTACGCAAGTTTTAAATATACTTTACATGTTTATCACTCAAGGGCGAATACGCTTTATTTATTAATTAAACTTGAAAAATTCTTTAAACTTTTCTCGTTCTATTAATGTTAACGGATTAATGTTTATATTGTAATTAGCTTTTCATATAGTACCTTTTTAATGCAACTCTGTGTATTTATTTTAGTTATAACGAAAGAGTGTATATTAAAAACTTTATTCTCAGCAAAGTTAAAGAGCCTAAAGCATTCATAAAAAATGCACGGCAAAGCAAATTTTATATTGAGAAACGAAATTTTATTCTCTGGCAAAGCCCAAAAACCTCTCCAAGCATTGCATAAGAAATAGACAGTAAAGTAGATTTTACTCTCAGCGGTATAAGATTTCATTTGCTTTTTTTCGCGAGCAAATAATAAATAAAAGTGACAAGCGTTCGCAGTTGTCTTTTAAATTAATTATTAATTTTAAATAAAACAAATTCATATTTTTGATCGGAATATTTCAAATACAGGAGTACAAAATAAGTTTCTGTAAATTCATTTATTAATAATTATTAATTTATTTGCAAAAGTAACGTAAAATATGGTCGCTGTAAATAGTGAATAAATGAATAAGAGGAAAATACGCAAAGAGTACAAATTTCTATAATATATACGGGAAGAATTTGCGAGCGCTCTCTCTCTCTCTCTCTCCTTCACAACTCTTAGTTCTCGCTCCGCTTTTCACTAGCAAATCGTTTTGATAAAAATTTAAAAACTTAAAAACCTTTAACGATTTAAGACGTGTTTAGCGCACGGTAATAAAAAGTAATAAAAGAAAGAATCAAAAACCCATAAAAGCTCATGTGTTAATTAAATTTTAGCTCTGCTAATAAATTCAATATAAATCGTTTATATACAAAAGTATCTAATAATATATCGCACTAACCGATACGCAACAGTACAGAGTTTTGCATATAAACAATTTGTATAGTACAAAGATATAAAAAAAAGTGATTTCTACTTATAAAATTATTCCTCTATAAGGGAGAAATTTGTAAAAATAATTCACGAAAATAAATGTAAAAAAACAAAATTTTTTTATATAAATAACAAAAACAAAAAAAAAAAAAACTGAAATCAAACTTGAAAACGCATGCATATAAACGTTTAATTAAGAAATAAATGTTAGTGAGAGAGTATAAAAGAGATACGAAGGGAGAGAAAGAAAAGAAACACAATAACAATGCAATAAATATAAAAATAGTGGAAAATTTTTACAGACAAAAAAAAAAAATAGGAAAAAAGCATTTTTAAGCCATGTTTGGAATCTCTTACCCGTGGGGAGGGGGTTCTTATTGTTGTCTACGTAATAACCTTGAAATGTAGCCCGGCATGTTATTCGTGTAATAAAGAAATCTTTTATTTTTATATAAAACTAATTTATGCCAAAAAGAAGTTTAACTAATAATAAGTTGTGTTTAACTTTTTTTCGTAATTAAATTGTCACTTGTAAATTATTCTTAAAAATAACGTAACGTTTTTTTTTCTCATCTGTAAGTGTTATTATGTATTTTTACCTGTCAGTAAATGAGATCGAAGAGATTAGCTATTATCTTAACTCAATGAAACTAAATTGTGAGAAATTTTTCAAAATAATTAGGAAAACTAAGAGGTTTCCACTAACAAATCTAGGTAAATTTCATAATAGAAATCATTTGTGACCTTTCACATTGTTCTTTCAATCAAAAATTTCCAGAAAGTAATTATTGAAGAAATTCGCGACATTCGGGGTTTTTTAGTTAATAATAATAATGAAACGCGAAAATTTGATTGAAAAAATATAATCCTGGGTTTACATAGGAAAATTACTCAATTATAAAGTTTTTCATGTGGCGTTTCAAATTTTAATTTTCTATATTACAGTTGGGAAAGCAATTAAGAGCTTAGTGGCAAGCGGCTGGTAAAATGCATGGATTTATGCTTACAATGCAGAAGTAAAACTGTGACTTCGTGCAAGGTTCACAAAGTATCTTGTCGTTAGATCAGTACGGGCAAATCTTTAACAAATCTTTTTTGACGCATTAAGACATATTATGAGAGATATTCAGACAAGTTTAGATTTTCGGAAGATTTTTTAGATGACAATTCAACTTTGACCAGTTAAATCATCACATTGATACGTTTTCAAACTTAATTGTATTGAACAAATATTGCATAGTTTAACACAAGCGTTTAACTTTAGTTGTGACGAAAATCGACATTCGAGTTTTTAGAGCCCCCACGCAAGTAAGAGTACTTCTAGTTTCAATCCATGAACATATCAACGTCGAATTTCTAACGAAAACGGCAGCCACTGTGTGTCATGACGTGTGTGGTCATGAAAACTGGGCACTATGTAAATTTTAAAATTCATCCTTACAAAACTATAAAGTCACAAAAATGATGACCAGAAAACACACTGTTTTCTTTTATATCATAACCAGCGAGCGATCGCAACGCCAGCGTATGGCAATTAAGTCGATGTAGTTTTTTTGAATACCTTTGTTTTAAAACAGCATAAAACTAGACAGCCGTGCTGAAAGGTACAAAGTACCTTTTTCCCTTGTAACACAGGGCACGCTTCTTAAAATTCGATTTAACTGCGCTTGTATTTGCTTCCAGGCAATATGATGTAGCTTTGCAGGGCCTTAAACTGCTTTTCACCGTGAAACTTACCGTATTAGGAAGAATAGTTGAATAATTCTATACGAAAGTGAATGTCGACTTCTCTTTTAGAGCCCTTTAGATTTTTAGGTCTAGACTATGGAATCTAAAACTTACCGCAAATAGGCTAAGTTTGACGGACATAAATCGTAATTCTCATTAGCGTAAGAAAAATGTTTCTTATCAAATTACCGACGGACTTACAAATCTTCTTAGTACTGCAATGACAGCTTTGCCGAGGTCGGTCTTGAAGCAAACACAACTTTTTTTTGTTTTTCCTATGTTGTACGTATTAAAGTAGTACGAACCAGTTGTGACTGTGTCGCCCTTTTTAGCGGTATACTCGCACGCGCATCAAACGCAGAAAAATTAGTTTGTAGTGAAACGACTTCATAAAGTGACAACAAGATTTTCTAAAATATATTATTATGGCAAATACACATTCATAACGACAAAATTTTATAAGGAAATCCAACAAGGACGGATGATGACGTATATATTCCACATTCATACTCAATTCGTTAAAAGAGTTTGACATCAAATTTTAGTTCATTATTTAAATATATCGGCTCAGTAAATTAGACGAATAGTCAGTCAGTCAGCTTACAGATGAGAGATACATTACATCGAAAACCTTTACACTTTCCTTTTGGCGAACCGAAATGTAACTGTACAGAAGTTTTAGTTAAGTCCTGCAATAATTATACGCATCGAAAAAATGTATCAGAAACATGATCACCTCTTCTTCTTCATTAATAAGTATTTCGATATCTTTGTTCTTGAACGGGCATTAAAAGGAGATTTTCTTCTGCAGTACACTGTATGTAACTACTTTACAAGATTAAAAATTTCCACTTTACTCATATTGATAAACATTTTTGCATTTTTTTAAAATTTTTTTTATATAACGGTTCTGTGGAATCAGCCAATTACCATTGAATATCATGAACGAAATTGATTGATAATAAATAAAACGATCGGTTTAATATATGAAATCAGAAATAATTCTTGTTTTTGTCTCAACCGCTCCCTCCCTCTCTTTTATTCTCTCTGTCACTCCCTCTGGCTTTTTGCTTCTTTTTTCAATTCAAAACAATACATATATATATATTTTTTGTTAAATTCGCAGCAATTTATTCATTAAAAGAATAAAACGAAGAATAAACTTAAAAAAAAAAAAGGAAAGATTTCATATCAAAAACTGTCCATCTTCATATCAATTAAAAAGTAATAATAAAGAAAATAAAAAAAAAATAAATAAAAACAAAAAAAAAAGAACAAACACAATAACAATATAAGCGTAACAGCAACAAAATGTGGAGTCCAACAAAAGCAACACCAACATCATCGTCGTCATTGTCAAGTGATAATAAGAACAAAAGAGAAGAAGTAGATGATTGTAGATGTAGTAATATTGAAACTAAAGTAGATGTAGACTTAACTATTACTCCACAACAGCAACAGCAACAAATTAAAATTAATAATAAGCAACAGACGCTTAGCTCAGTTGGTGCGCAATCATCGTACGTAGGTCAGCAAGCGGGAGGGCAACAAGAACGAAAATTTGTTAAAAGCGAGGAGGAGGAACAGGAGGAAGAAAGTGATTGCAAACATTTTACGGAATCAGCAACAGATTCAGGTTTCATTTCGGGTCCACAGCAGATCGACATTAGTTCTTCTGCTAATATTCTCAACGATCATTCAACAACAATAAAGAGGAATAGTGCTGGTGCTATTGAACAATATAATATCACAACGACTGCCCTTTCACGCAAAGCACAAAAGCAACAAAAAGAACAAGAACAAGAAGAAGTAGAGGAAAATTCAATTTTCGATTCGGGTTGCATAGCCGAAGTTGAGGATAGTGTTGAAATTGAGCCCAAAAGCGTTACAACATCGAACGCATCAACAACAACAACGGAGAGTGCAAGTAACGATTCTCAAATGCTCATCAAACATAACGTGGATGCTGGTATGGCAGAATGGTTTTGCAATTTAAGCTTGCAAACCGATGGCACCCAAACGACAGATAATGCCTCGCGCCTGGGGATAAATAATTTAAATGCACTGCAAAGGCAACGTACAACAACAACACAACAACAACAACAACAACAGCAACCACAACAACAACAAAACGTTACAACAGGAAACTCTATTATTACACCAACCGTACCAACAATAACGATGACACCGTCATCGGCCTGGGAACAATTCTATCAGCAAAACGATGATGGAGATACGTGAGTATCGTTCTTTACTTTTTCGCACATTTCTTTTAAATAGATTTTAAAGACTAAGGTTATGATTTATAATGAATGCATATGTAATTTGCGGTTATAAAATGTTAGAGTGGTACGAAAATCACTACTATTTCAATGTGTCGTTAATTGTTTAGATATAATAATATAGTGATCAGCAAAAAAAAATAAAAATAAAATAAAATTATTACACTAAGGATATATAAGAAGCTTAAAAGAGAAATTACTATCTCAGCGACACATAAAAGACTAAAAGAGTAATTACTTTAAACTAATAACGGCGCAATAAGAGATTAGAACTCTGATTCGACATGGTCAGCTATTAGGAATTCTGTATCAAGTCTGGAAAAACCAAAGCATTCAAAACTAAGAGAATAAATTTATGTTTTGCATTTAACATTAGCGAATGAAATCTTTTCCAATGTATACCATCATGTGTCCATCCATCCATTAGTTTGCAATCTTGAAAATCGAAAACTTAATTCACAAACAGGCTTTTTGAAAAGCCCAATTCAACTTTTTCGTCTCCTAAAATTGCCGCGAAAAATCGCAATGAAATGCAATATTTCATCTCTGACATAAATTATTCTTCCGCTTTAAAACGTACAGACGTAGTGCTCACCGCTTTATGCAATTGCAAGTTCGTTTGCCTTGGATTGGCAATAAAGATATAAAAATGGTCGAGTTACCTACCAAAAGTTCACTCTTCACCCTAACTCGCTTATAACACTTCTACCTATCCGTTTTAATGCTTCCCTAATTCTTATATATATATATATAAATCATCGAAAGATGGTGGTATAGTAGACTTTTTAAAGCGATCGCCAAAGATCAAATAAAGTGAACACATCCTAGATAGGTCAATTGGTTCATCTATGTATGTCTTACCGAAAAATCTCGAAATATTGTTGTTGATCGCGTGAAGGTAGAGAATGCAAATCCAACGAAACATATAAGATGAAAACGAACCCAATTAGGTATACCGCCAATTCATGAAGGAAACTCTTCAATACTTGGTCGAGAGTGCAAATCAGGAGAAAGATTCAAACTGAAAGAGATTCAATTCTAAAGGGAATTTTATAAGCCTTATGGCGATCCAAGATTTGAATCAAGACATATATACATTTTTTTAAAATCTTCTTAAAGAGGGGAATACAAGGCAATATACAAGGTTATGTCGAATTACTGTTTCGCAAGTACCATGTTATACGATGAATACCTATTTATATATGTAGCAAAAATCCAGTTTAAACGTCAAAACAAAAATTAGGCCAAACGATTAACGTATATGCTAACCATTCAAAACTTTCAGTTTACCTAAGATTTCCTTTGAGATGAATGTACGTAATAGAGGAAAACTTTTCATTTATTATTCAGTTCTTCATGACGAGCCAAGTTTTGCTACAAGACAAATAGTTAGCTGTTTCCAACTTTCTTAAAGGTGAGAGGCCTAATCGGTGTATAGTTTTCGATATCGAGTAAACTTGACGATAATTTGAATAAATGGTTCGACTCTAATTTTACAATCGAAGGATTTTTCATTTGATAGTAAGAAAAATGTGTATATATTATCGGCAGCTGCAACGTCATAGAGAGTCAATAAACAGACAGCTGTCGAGTTTTCTCAATATTGACAGCTGGTGAGAATCAATATCTAATGACATAACAAAGTTATTTCTGACCAATACGCATATCATTAGAAATTCGATGGATTTTACTCGATATTAGCTTTATTTTTACGAAATGGTTCGCCCAAAACCAAATATAATTTTTTTCTTATATATATTAAAATTTAAATAAATTTGCAAATCAAAAACCGTGCACATGCCGTGCAAACTAATCGCTACCTTTGAACTTTTCCATTCATAAGTACCTAAGATTTAGTTGAAGAGGAAACTTTTCAATTCTTACCTTCAGACAAGTGTGAGTAAAGTCGAGCCCAAAAATTTACATTCATATTAATCGTAGAAAACTTCTTTCTTTCTAACCCTATGGAAAAGCGTTATTTATTTTCATTTACTAAAATCTCTGCTCAAGTTGCAATTCATTTATGTTGAGATCCATCCCTGGCTACAAATGTTCAAGAAAATGTTAGAACTTAGAACTTCGACTACTTAAATGCGTTTAGTTTTGTTTTGATTACAACAACAATGGTTTAACGTTTACTTTTAAAAATGGCATAAAAGTATTTTTAGCAAAAAAAGAAAAAAATTTAATTGAAGTTTAAATTTACATAAACATTTACATTTTCAAACGTGTACGCGTAAATATTATTACTATTATCATAAATTCTAAGACTAAAGGCCTAAGGCACATTGGAAATTCTACTGCGCTTGAGATTGCTTTAAGCCCACGCGTATTAAATTGTTAGTAGAGGTACTTTTTCTACTCGCCGGCTTACGTCTATGTATGCGTAAATATTTAAATATAAAATTTTTTTTGATTATGTTTATAATTATTATTATAATTCATTTAGACCAAAGATATAAATTCTGAAACATAAAAAAAAGTAGAATGAACAAGACTATCGACTTAAGCCATTTAGCCATACAACGAAAAAAAGCTGTTGAGCTGAGGCGAACTGTCAATGCCAGTATAACGTTTGTATATAAAAAGTATTATTCATAGGTCACAGGCCGGTGACCAAAAGGTAGGGAACGACTGCCATGTCAGCGTTAGTCAGCGTTTACACTCATTTGTTTGTAAATGTCTGCAGCAAGAATTACTTAAATCTCTTTCTTTTATTTATGTTCATGTGAATGTTACTTTGCAGCACTTCTCACGTACTTACCTTTAAACCGTTTGCAGTGCAAACATCTGCCAATCTTTTCGTTTTTGAGTTAATAAGCCATATACGTTCATGTTTGTTGGTTTCACTGCGTTATTCTTTCTTAATGCATTTAAGGTTTCGTAAGGATTTTAGGTAACACGAAAAGAACCTGTTTTCCTTACTTATTCCGATGCTTTAGTAAAAACCCAAAATTACAGGTTTTTAGAAAAGTAACAAATATAGAAAAATGTTTGTTATTCTTACTTACTTACTTACTTACTTACTTACTTACTTACGTACTATACAGCTGCTATAAATTACTTTCTTACTACCTAAGGACAATGAGTTTAACAAAAACGTTTGCATTTCGTTTAAAAAGAATTTTATTGATGAATGATACGAATGAAACTTAAAACCTCTAACTGCTTAAGTTGTTTTGAGTTTTGTTATTAGAAAGAAACTGGTTTCCCATTGTCTTTGTCTATAAGAATTTTACGAAAAAGAAAAAAGAATAAATTTGTAGATGAATAAGAGGATTTTTATATGCATATGCATATATGTATTTGAACGAATTTTTCATAAAATGTTTTCTTTTCCTTTACTTTAAGACCTTTGCATTTGGCTTGCATTTCGGGTTCTGTGGATGTGGTAGCTGCCCTAATATGCATGGCTCCGCATCCCTGCCTACTAAATATACAAAACGATGATTGCCAGACACCATTACACTTGGCTGCCTTAACAGCGCAACCGAAAATTCTAAGAATGCTTTTAATAGCCGGAGCTGAGGTAAAGTATTGCTTTTAAATAACTATCGAACACTTTGTCTCGACACGTACTTGTCTTAATTGATCGTGTATATATATATATACATATATAGGTATATAGAAAACAAAAAAAAAAAGAAAAAAAACGAAAAGAAAGAATATGCCAAGAAAATGCTTACACATATATATTTAAACAAAGTATATGGAGTGATCGGTGATTGCAATTTGTTCTTGTTATTTATAGCCCACCATACGTAATCGAAATGGTAATACAGCTTTACACTTAGCCTGCATATCTGGCGAAGAGCAATGTGTGCGTGCCTTAATTATACCGATAAGTCCGTCCGAAATCAATGAAGCTCGTAACCAGTATGGAAATCGCGCTAATGACAAAACCTATTTAAGTTGTGCTCGTCTACCCTCCGATTTAGAAATACGCAATTATGACGGTAAGTAAATTTATTTGTTATTCAAGAAAAAAAAAAAAAAAAAAAAAAAAAAAAGAGAAAGCAAAAAAAAAAGGAAAACTTCTTTCCATATTTAAGCTGCTTTTTTAATTTCAAAGCGACATAAGTGCATTCGTTTCATTTCAAGCAATTTAAGATCTTCTACTTTAATTTAAAATATTTAATATTTATTAGTAATTGAGCTTTTTTAGGAGGTCAATGTATGCACGTATGCACATTTTCTTCATTTTTTAATCATGCACATGTCCATTGGCCATTGGAATTATCGCTGCTTTCAAACTCAATAATCTCATACTTTTCTGCCTATGTATAAATATTTAGACAATTGATTTCAATTTATGAATTAGAAATTACTTAACAAACAATTAAAGTCATTAGAGCCGGCCACGGCGCAATATTACATACTCCGCAAGACCATTTTGCTTAATACGATTATCTATGTAACATGTTTTCCAAATAAGGCTTCATGCTGCGATCGAAGTGATTGAAACAGTGATTCAGTTCGAACGATATAGCGTCCGTCCTTAAGCCGTTCCACGTCGTTGTTCCAAATTTCATTAAAATTTCTCAAAAATAGCGAATTGTGGATTGGACACGCGAATACAAAGCAGAAAGAAGAACAGAATCATTTTCTGAATCGATCGGTCTAATAATTATTGTATAACGAATGTGTATAATGACTTTGCAAAATGAAGCTTGTTATGGAAAGCGGTCGAAGAAGTGGCCCAATCGGAACCATTTACAATAGCGGTCGCCCTTTAGCGAAAACACGCCGCTGTAGATTGAACATGAGAATGCAAGACGGACGGACAGACAGAAACTTAGATCGATTGAGAAAATTATCCTGAATCGGTCGGTATAAGAACTATTTCATAAAAATTTTTCAAATTGAGGCAGTCTGTGGAAGTGCTCGAAGAAGTGGTACAATCTGAACCATTTCCAATACCGGCCGTCCTTAAAATACCTACTATATTCCATTAAAATATCTCAATAATTGCGACCTGTAGATGGAGCATGTGAATACAGGAAGAACGGACAGACACACAAACTTAAATTGATTAAGAAAATAATAATGAAAATGATTCCAAACTAGTAGTAACTATTGTATAACAAGTTTTTAAGATATGGTGCTATGTGGGAAGTAGTCCGATCCAAACCGTTTTTAAAAACAATCCTCCTTGAGCCAAGCAAAGTCGCTTTATTGAATTTCAGTGAAATGTCTTACAAGTTGCGACCTGTTTATTGTATGCAAGTAGACAAGACAAACTACTTCAGATTGATACAGAAAAAGATCTTGACACTATATATAAATATAGAGAATAAATATTGGGTCGACACAAACTTATTATGATCTGCGCTACAAGTGGTGTAGGACTTAATAATGAAAAACACTACAATATTTACTATACTCCTTCCTTTTCCAAAGATTTATTTATACTAAATATATATAATTTTTCTTTGCCTTTTTTTTGTTTTATGAAATACCGTCGGCTGTTTTTGGCGATTACAATTTTTACCAAATTATTTCATTTTTTTGGCTAGCCATAGGCATAGACATTCTGTGAGCCATACGAAACGGTAAAAATACTTGAAAAAAAAATATGCATACATACACACACCCACAATTGCGTTAGTTAAAAATAGCTTTAATGAGCAAATGAAAATTTTTTCAAAATTTTAAGTTTTCTGCTTAGTCGTCTGCCGTGAATTCTTCACAGTTTCGAGACTCATTACCATCGAAATAAACACATACTTATATTGCGCAAGTCGGGTAATTGCCAAATGCCATCAAAAAAAAAAAAAAAAAAAAGTTGAATACAAAAGACTGTCTAAAAAGTATTAAGCTCAAAATTTCTCATCGATTTATATTTGCTTAATCTGAATCCAATTAGAAAATAATCAGAAATTTTAAATCAATAAGCTCTTTAAAGGATTAATGAAAGGTTTGCTTAGGATCAACAGAAAGCGAAGGGAGTTCTTCTTAGTTTCTCTCTCTCTCTCGCTCTTTCTCTCTATTTGTCATAAGCTAAGTCGCCTTATAGTCGAAACAATTCTTTCCGTTCGAATTGTTGGTCGTTTTTCGCTAACCTTCACAAGACCTTAGAAAGACCATTCCAGCCATTTACTATCAACTTTAGTATAACAGTTGACTAGTAGTAGAAATTAGTTAGTAATAGAAGCTTTTAAAAAGTAAAGATGCCATTTTTTTATCCTTGTAAATATAAGATTTTACAGCAAGAAAGAATGAGAGAGAGAGAGAGAGAGAGAGAGAGAGAGCTTAATTGGATTACAACGACCTTTAGCAAGCAAAAACTGGAAGGTTCTTCAGATACGCGTCAATATATACTCATACAAGGCATAGCCAAGTTTATGAATTCTTAAAGACAACTATTCTGAGTTATAAAGTGCATTTTCAATTGTCTCACTATGGAAATAAGCAAAACTATCGCATCAGGTGGAGTTCCGAAAAGCCAAGAGAAATAGTCGAATACCCAAATCCAATCATAATGAGTGACAGTGCAAGGCAATCTCCGGGCTAACTATGTAGCTGGCCTGTAATTTTGCGAAAGAGTCGATAGTTTTATCGTTAGAATGAATGAATTGCGTTATCCAAAGCTATTGACTGTCTTTTTTATTGCCCTGAAATTGATGCTACCAACAGGTATAGACCATTTTTTAACCGTCCCATGCATCATTTGCTACAAAGCTTATTCAAAAATAGCCTTTGTTGAAAGAGCCTCTCTTTACTTACAACCATTTCGTGCTTTGTTGAGCGCCTTTTACTTGTTTGTCTTTTGGAAAGCTTCGTACCGCATATTTAAGCAAAAAAAAAAACCAAACAAAAAAAAATGAGCGCACTTTTGATTTGATTTGCCTGTGCGCTCCACATCGCTCCCGTATACATCGTTTAATAAAATCTAAAAATCTAAAAATTTATACAATTTTAAATGAATTGAATTGAAAATTTCGTAGTTGTTCTTTATTTGTATGTATTCGTATATGATTTCTATATAAACAGAATTTATTTGACGTCAATAACAACCGTATGTATGATTTTATTGCCTTATAATTTTAAAGCTGACATAGATTGTATAAAGAATGAGGTCTTTTTCGAATATAAATTTGAAATTTTAAATATAATATTTTATATTATAGTTCATCTGCATAGATTGCGTAGTCGAAAAAATCTTTAGCCTTCCTATTAAACAGTCAGCTATTATTGACGAATATACTCGTCATGGAGAAATGATGATGGTTTTTATTACAATTACATATTTACATACTTACACGCGACACGTTTTTTAAAGAGGTCAGGGCAGGCTAACTGATAAATGCAATATTAACTATTTTCGAATTTTGTTCCAATAGTTTCGAATTTATTTAAATGAGCCAATGCATATGGTTCAGAAATAACTTACCTAAAACAAATAGAGGCTTCGATCGAGTAAATTCGTTAGCTGTCGAGTATTGAGTTTAGAGCCGGCGATAAATTTTGCACTTTCCTTACTATCGTAAAAAAAATCTGTCTTTTGTAAAACTATTGCGGAATAAAATATTCAAATTACGATCATGTGTACTCGATATCGACAGGTATAGAAATAAAAGAATATATAACAGGCATGTATTAGTTAAAAAGATTGTGACGCTATAATGTCTACCTGACGTATATATTAAACTGAAACCATCATATGTGTGTGTTCTTGATTGCCTAATCATCGATACTTAATCAACCTAACTACGAGTTATGCTTTCGCTGGTCCTTCCTTGAAATCTTAAATGATATTGAAGTAAAAATCTAAAGCTGAATGTACGCATTTTTACTTCACTTCCATAGATCACAACAAAAGAGTAATTAAGAACACTATAGTGGGATACGGTGCACCATTGCATACCCTGAACCGCTTCATTTAATACAGTTATCCAAAATAAAGCTCTACATGGCGAGTGATTGAAAATGTGGTGCGATCTGAACCAAGGTCGCCCTTGAGTCAAAACATATCAGTGCAGTGAAATTTCATCAAAATATCCTAACAGTTTAATACAAAGAAGCAAAATGGACAGACGGACAGATAAGCATCAAATTTGATCAAAATATCCTAAAGATTGAACACAAACTAGCAAAATGGACAGACGGGCAGATAAGCTTAGTGATTCTGAAGTGAGCCTATCTCAAATTCTTCTGGTTACTGCACACATTCGCACAAACTTAAAATGTCTTTGTACCACAATTGATTTAATGGGTTTAAAAAGTATCATAGATAAGAAAGTAAAAACAATCTACCAAAAAACTGAAACTTTTATAAGCATTTGTCAGACAACTTTTGAAAAACGTCATTATATGCTTAAAAAAAATCTATGAAAGTAAAGGATTTCGGCATAGAAAGCTAATGGCGAAAAACTTAGATGAAATAGGTTTAGCTTTTAAATCGTCTCTAATATACTTGATCCTCTAATAAATAATACCTTCTAGAACTACAAAGTCTCGTTTTTGGTGTTTTACTACAAAAGAAAAAGAGTTCAAGTATATTAGACAATGAAGTGTAGATAGGTATTCAAGGTCAAATTTTGCGTGACTATAACATAAAATTTTCTTGGTAATTTTTATAAAAATTGATAAACCATTCTGTTTAATATAAAGTAATTGCTAAAAATATATATTTTTCAATGACAAGAGTTACGAAGAATCATGCATTAATTCCCAACTTTTCCTAGTAAAACCGAACAAAAACCTTTGACTAATTAATGTTAATGCGTAAGGAGTTTAAAACGAAAATAAAGAAAATAAAAAACAAAATTAAATTCTTATTCATATTTATAGTCATAGCAATTATTGATGTTATAACAAAATGTGAAATTCCCTTTGGTAATATGAGAAACAGTTATAAATCGGGTTCATCAACACATATCACGGTCCTATTCGCGTAGAAACAAAAAGGAGGGCAAATTTAGAATTTTTTATCATTAAAAAAAAAAAAAAATGA